ATCATCCCTGTTACAGGAGCTCCATTTCAGCTGGTTATTAATGAAGACGCTATGTAAGAAGGCTATATGAAGAAATAGTTGCATAGCTAAGTACAAAAATATTATGTAGTCAACCATGGTTACTGCCTAGATGATGAAACAAAGTGTGCCTGAACTGAAATATAAACACTCTAACATTGTGGTCTACAATAAACTTTCATGTCTCAGGAGAGGAGGTTAGATGGGATTCTCTCACTAGTCTTAAAATATTTGTCTATTAGATTAGCATATTTGTAATAACGTGTGGAACACTAATATCATTTCCTGTTATAAAGAAACAAAACTAACTAGGTCTTGATGTTCATTTCCCCAAAATATCTGACCCCCAAAGAAGATGTTTTCAGTTTATGAAAGGGGACATGAAATGAGAATGGGCAAGAAAGAAACTAATAAGCGATGTCTGGGGTTAAGACTCTTTAGAAATTTTCTTAGGGCTTTGGAACCAGACAAGTGTCTGCTCAAACCTGACACCAAACTTAACCTCCCCCAGTCCCCAGCCAATTTGGATGAAAATCAGCTTTGCTTTAGGCTTAGCTATATAAGAATCTGTATTGTCATTCCTAGACCTGTTTAAGCCCTTTTAATAGATCAAGTCAGGATGGTACCTTCATAATTTAGTGTTGTGAATAGTGCAAATAAAGCCTTCAATGGCATCTAATCAGAACATTTTCTTTTCTCTTCCCTAAGACCATTATTCCATAGAGGTCCAGATTTCCCCAGCCTGTCAGTCATTACAACTACAAGCTGCCCAAGCTCATTTGAAAGCCATCAAGTGGCTAATTTGCCAAGATGGATTCAAAAGACATGAGACAGCTTACGGTTGTGGTCTCTCTGACCCCTCCCACACAAAGCAGCGTTCTGAAGCCCGCGGGGAATTTCTTTTGCTGATGGCGGGCTATTGTTTAAACACTGATTGCCTCTTTTTTCTGTCATTCACTTTTTTCCCCTTCCCTGAACTCCGCCACCATCAGTCACAGACTTCATTCATAGCCCACCGGCTGAAAGTTCCGTGCTCAACACACTGACAAAATAAGCCATTTATAGGTCAGAGCTAGAGGAGAAAAAAATCACACTCGTAGATATTAATGAAGCCTTGAGTGAATTTTTCTTATCGACTCAAAAGACTTATGTGCTTTTTATGCCAATGAACTCTGGCATATACAACAGAAAATGAGGCAATTCATGTTAAAGTAATTTCATAATGCCAAAAAAAAGAACTATACAGATACAAGGTATTTGAGAAGTATATGGTATATTTCATTAGGGTCTAAAGAGACCCTGGACCATTTTCCCCAGCCTACTTTGCACAGAGCAAGTACTAGTGATTGGTGGTCCAGACAAGGGACAGAGATTTTAGAATCAGACCTAGGTGTGTGAATTGTGAGTTGATCCCTTATTCGTGATCCTGGAAAACTTACTTAATTTCCCTGGGCCTCAATTCCCTATTCGAATAAAAGGGGGGTAACATTACCTACCTCGCGGTGTTGCTGGGAGTGATAATGAACTAATTTACATAAAATATTTCACAATCTCTGGCAGGTCACGAACTATCAGTGAATAGTAGCTATTACTGTTACTGTTTTATTGTTACTATTTCTTTCTATTCTGTGCAGTAGAAGCTATTTTTCTCATAGAAGGTAACACAGAAGAGTAATAAGAATAATAAACACATCTGTGATATTAACTATGTGCCATACATAGTTAATGGATCATTCTATAAAGAAACTGAGGCATGGAGAGGGAAAGTAAGGTGCCCAAAGTTACATAATTAGTAAGTGGGGAAGCTGGAATTGAACCCAAGCAGTCTGGCTGCATTACTCTCTGAAATAAATTTATTCTAAATGCAGGTAGGTATCTGCCACACTGGCGGTGCTTACAGTTCTAAGAAACAGAAACACACTGAAACAAACATGAAATCAAAGAGTTGATTGTAAGCCCAACAGAGACCCTTGAGACCATGAAACTCAGGTTCCTAGTCATGACATCCGAGAGCTAGAACCAGAGACTAGTTCTGACTTCAAGGCATTTCAGAAGCAACAGTTGTACCCACACTGTGCAGCTTCTCCCGTTTCCATCTTCAGAACCAAGCCCCTACTTGCTCCAATAAATCTTTCAATTCTGTTCCCCTGCAGTTCAGTTCCTCCATAATCCAACTGGATATTCCAAGGAAAGGAATCATCATGATGCAGTTTAAGGGGTGATGTCTGTCGCTGGACCAATCAGCTCTGCCTCAAGAATCAGGGTCCACACCACATACATCACTGCCAATATTCTCTTAGAAGCTTAAGGGAAAAGAACTATCTACAGGTACCTTGAAATAGATCTTTCCCACCATTACCTTGCTATCCTCTTATCTTCCCCATTTTGAGGTGGTGAGAAACATAGAAATTGAATAAATCTTTGGAGTTAGTGAGATTAAAAAAGAAACTCTGCCTCTGCCATCACTGGCCATGAGAAATTAGGCAAGTTATCAAATCTCTCTAGGGCTGTCTTCCCAAGTGTAAAACAAGGATAGTAATCATGACTGCCTCATAGGTTTGCTTTGAGTATTAAGTGAGGTGGTATAGATAAAATACTTTGGCATAAATCTTGGCTCTCAGTAAGTGTTCAGTGAATGTTACCTATATTTTTATCAAAATTCCCAGTTCAAGAGCCTTCATAAATATACTTCAGCCTTTAGAGTTTTGAGACTTCTAAACTCCTGTGTCCTCTTTCCTCCCAAATCTTCTTCTTTAACAGCCAAATAGTCAAGGCATCCAAGGAATCAGAAAGGGCCAAGATTAGATACAAGATTAAACAGAGAGAGGCAGAAAGTAGATGAATGTTGTGTGGTAGAATCTACTGATAGATTCTGATCTATCTGTAGATTCTACCACCTGTCTGATCTCTTTTCCTTAGTAACAGAATCTCAATTTTATTTATGTTGAATGGCACACAGCTAACATACTGCATTTCCAGCCTCCCTTGCAGCTAGATATGGCCTTGTGACTAAAGTCTGACCAATGAGATGTAAAGCAGAGTTTTGTGGATTTCCAGAAATACATTATGCAATGCTTCTATTTCATGTGACAGAAATGAACTCTATCTTGCTTAAGCCAGTTGTTTTAGGATATTTGTATCAGAATGTACAGAATATAATCCTAATTTATATAATCAATCTGGAAGTCTTCAATTAATTGTCTAATCATTAAAATAGTAGAGAGAGGTGCATTAATCAGAAGAGAATGGATAGGTAGAAAGGAGAAATAAAAGAAAGAAAGATGGATAAGATACTTACAATTGAAAATCATCTTCCTCAGAAGAAAAACCACATACTAGAACAAAATTTTAGGTAATATATCTAATGTGATTAACCTAAAGGGAAATTATGATGATTTGGTACTCCATGCCTAGATACACATTTAGGTATTTTGATGCCTACTTGATCCACTAAACTGTTTAATGCAGTGAATAAATGACTTGGACTTTCTCTGTCTTGATCCCTGTCTTTTTAATGGTCATCATAAAACTTACCTTACAGAGATAATTTGAGAATTATTTAAGACATCACCAAAAATATTTTACTAACATCCTTCCACACTTTCTTGCATCTCTTGTCAACCAATGATTTTTAGACAAAACTATCACCTCTCATGTCCTGACTCCAAAGTCACAAATTCCCATAAAGATAGGCAGAAAAACTCAAAGCTCCAAAATGTTTTTAAGGTCCAGCCTGCCATACCTTATGATCCATGCTTACTTGACTGATGGAAGAAAGTTGTGGCTATAGAATCCTTACTCAGTTCCAAAATTATTTAGCTTCTATGAGCCTCTGTTTTCTCATTGGTAAGATGTTGCACTTTTTTTCCTCCAAAGTGCCTTCCAGAATTTAGAAGATATTCATTCATTTATTCATTCATTCAATACACATTTAGTAGGTACCTACTATATTCCAGGTTCTCCTCAGTCTTTGGGATCCAGAAATAAAACAAAATTCATGTCTTTATGGAGTTTATTGCTAGTGGGGGAGACAGAAAAGAGAGTTGCAAGCTTTATTAAGTTATCATCTTTCCGCTTCTATACGCCACTTTACCATGATGGGGCTGGGACCCTGCAGTCTTTCTGGGCTTGGCCAGCTGCTCTACTAGGTTCGGCCAACAGAGGGCACTGGAGGGAGCCTGCAGTGGTTGGGCAGGAAGATGGAAACTGCTGCTTCCCATTTGCTTCCTCTCTCCTGCCATCAATGCCCCTGCTATGGCTCTGCACCCTCAAAGCAACAGTTGATTCCAGAAGCAGCCAGTGGTTCCAATTTGCAGGTTTTCCACACTGCAAGAACCAGCTTCACTGTACCCCTCACTCTGGGGAAGGGGCACTGCTTGAGGTATGCCCACCCCAGAGAGGCAGTGCCCCTTCTTCAGAAGATGGAATTTCAGCCAAGGGAGCCCCACCTCCATGCCTCTAAATTTTAATAAATTCAACCTCCTCCTGTTGTTCTTCCAGCCTGTATTAGTCCACTCGGGCTGCCATACAAAGTGCCCTAGACTTAGAGGCTTACACACATAAATTTATTTTCTCCCAGTTCTGGAGGCTGGACGTCCAGGATCAAGGTGTGGACAGAGTTGTTTCTCCTGAGGCCTCTCTCCTTGTCTTGTAGACATCCGTCCCCTCCTTGTGTCCTCACATCAGACCTATTGGATTAGGGTCCACCTTGATGATGCCATTTTAATTTAATTGTCTCTTTGAAGACCCCATCTCTAAATACAGCCACATTCAGAGGTACTGGGATTTAGGACTTCAACATATGAATTTTAGGGAAGACACAATTCAACCCCAAAACACAGCTCTAGCTGCTTCCTATGGTTACCATCACCGTGAAACTTCAGTTCCTTTTTTTTTCTTTTCAGTTTTCTAATGCTTGGTTAAGATTCTTTTATATTAAATTCTCTCTGTTAATTTAATTATGTGGTTTCTGTCTCTTGAAGGGATCCTGGCTGATACAGAATGTCAGATGGTGATAGTATGATGGAGAAAAAAATAATAGAGCAGAGAAAGGGGACAGGAAGTGCTGAGGTAAGAATGAGTTTCAACTCACATAGGAGGGTTAGGAAAGACTTCTCCAGAAGGTAACATTTGGGCAGAAACCTGGAGGTGAAGGAACAAGCCATGAGGCTTTCTTGGGGCAAAAGCATCTTCTGGCAGAAGAGGTATCGTGGTAATAAAAGGCACTGAAGTTCTTATTGAACATTGTGTAATCCACTGAGACAAGTCACTGCAGAGAAAAGAGCTCCTCAATAATCCTTGCTCTGATGGATTGTTTTCCATTGCCTGCGTATCAGTAATAGCCAGTGGGCAATTCTCACATTAAAATTATAATAATCAAGAATTTGGGGGCTGTCAAGGATCTTGTAGTTCAGCAGTCCCCAACATTTGTGGCACCAGGGACAAGTTTCATGGAAGACAATTTTTCCACGGACTGGGGAGAGTGGGGAGGGGATGGTTTCAGAATGATTCGAGCACATTACATTTATTGTGTGCTTTATTTCTATTATTATTACATTGTAATATATAATGAAGTAATTATACAACTCACCATAATGCTGACAAAAGGCAGAGCTCAGGCAGTAATATGAGTGATGGGGAGCGGCTGTAAATACAGATGAAGCTTCGCTTGCTTGCCCTCTGCTCACCTCCTGCTACGCAGCCCAGTTCCTAACAGGCCATGGACAGCTGCCGGTCTGTGGCCTGGGGGTTGGGGACCCCTGTTGTAGTTCATCTAATCCACCTTTCACATGTTGTAGACCTAAACCCAGAGAGGTGAATTCATTGGACTTAGGGCCACAGAGATGACAGACTGTGGAATTTGAACTCTATCTCCTGATTCCTTACAATTCAGGAATCTCTCCACAGCACAATGGTGTGCTTTCCACATCAATAATCACAAGTATTAAGTTGACGGAGGCAGATAACCAGGGATGTACACCACCAAGAATGCCCATTTCTCAGGTGAGAACATAAAACCTTATTGTTCAACCATATCTTTGGCAGGGGGTGGGGGACAGTGTGTGCTATCAAGTGTTTGATACATAAACCTAAAGGCAAGGGCAGTAGTCTGAAGCCTTAATAAAGAAGTAGCAGTAATACCAATGAATACTCTATATTATGGTTTTTAGGTTTCTTGGTCCCTATTGCAGGGATATGCCTTTAGATTCTCTTACTGGTGGAGACCCAACCTCAGCTGTTTCCCTGGCCTCTCCAAACACGCCTGAGAATAGCCCTGTGGAGGTGGCATTCCGCCCCTTGGAGCAGTAACATCTTCCATGTTACTTCATTCTCATTAGGCCACAAGAAACCTCGAGGCAGCATTGCCAACTTGTAGAAACCAAAATCCTGGCAACTGATAGAACTCAAATGACAAAGACAATGGCGTGAAGAAAGGTCACGGCATAAACCACTCTGTTAAGAGTGTTCAGACCCTTATCCTACAAGGCTCTAGGTAGGAGTAGTATGTTTTCATGCCATGAAGACAAAGGCATTTGTTTTCATCTTAGAGAAAATTGTAATATCATTTCCATGCTTATTGGCTCTGCTTTGAGCCCTGGAGCCCCATGTAGCTGTTGTACATGAACTCCTGACGGTGAGCCCAGAGAAGTAATATGGTTGTCTTGGGAAGCACAGCAGTGCGTCCAAAGATTTGACACATGCTGCTTGCCCTCCTAAGCCATAAGTTTCCGTGGTGTGTTTGGCATAAATGGGAACTTCACATATATTATATTTTTCTATATTTACTGACGATTCATTTCATTACAAATGTTATTAGCAACATTATCAAACATTTATTGATGTTGACTTACATACAAGGCACTGGGACAGCTAATGGTGATTACAAGGCATAAAATTCCCTTTTTTTATATTGAAGTATAGTTGATTTACAATGTTGTGATAGTTTCAGGTGTAGAGCAAAATGAATCAGTTATATATATATGTATATATATATGAGTATATATATTCTTTTTCATTATAGGTTATTAAAAGATATTGAATATGGTTACCTGTGCTATACAGTAGGTCCTTGTTGATTATCTATTTTATATATAACAGTGTGTATATTTTAACCCCAAACTCCTAATTTATCCCTCCCTCCCTTCCTCTTTGGTAACCATAAGTTTGTTTTCAAAGTCTGTGAGTCTATTTCCATTTTGTAAATAAGTTCATTTACATCATTTTTTTAGATTCCACATATAAGTGATATCATATGATATTTTTCTTTCTCTGACTTACTTTCCTCAGTATGATAATCTCTAAGTCCATCCATGCTGCTGCAAGTGGCATTATTTCATTCTTCTTTATGGTTGAGTAATATTCCATTATATATATACCCACCTGCCATAGTAGCTTTAGTCAAATAGTTAGCTACATTTATCTATTAAATATATACTATTGCTCATATTGTTGCTTTATTTATTATATTAGTTCCCTAAATATTAAATGTTGCATAGTAAAAGTTATTACACACTGGACTTTATAAGCACAGAAAATTCACACCTTTTGCGTAAGTACGGTGTCCCGTAGCCATGGGAACACATCCAGAACAAGCCGTCAACGCCTCACGCAGTTCAGTCCATCTCGTTAACTTTCCCTCTGATCTGACACCCCTCTGGAACCAACAGACATCTCCCCAGCACACAGAAAGAGCCAATGTAACAATCGTTCATGCTTTACATCTCATAAGCCAAAATAGATATCACAACTGGTAGCAGAGATACAAATTAAATAGAGAAGAGGTTTACTTTCTGCACCTTATAAAATTCCAGTACTGTCACTTCTCTTTCTGTTCATTCAGTGGTTCCCCTCAATCTGGTCCCTCCCTGCCATCCAGGAAATCACTCTGGCGATATAAAGTCTCCCATACGTTCCCAGCTTCCATCTGGGGGAGCCCATGGCTCAGCTGAGGGTTTATCTGCCCACTGTTTCATTTTGGATCTTGCCTCCCAGAGTCTCCTGTGCTAAGCATTTACTGTTACCATGATTCTTCTCTCCTCTTTCTGTAAACATAATACCAAGTCCTGATTTCTTATTTGCACCTGCAAGGCTGAAGCTGCAGGTGTTTATCTGTATAGAAGTCACCAGAAGTCAGTGTAAATCAGGGCAGTTCCCCGAGCAACAAAAATTAATATGTAGGAGAGTTCCAGGCTCAGGTAGTGTTTCTTTCCAATTATATTTACTCATTTTCATGAGGTGTTATTTAATTCCTGAGGTTTCCTGATAAATGGTACAAATGCCATTCCTTTTTCCAATGCAATTTGTGATTCCGTTACGTGAAAAGACACTATATTAAATAAAAATTAGTCTTAATATTAGGTCCCTCTGTTCTCGAAGCAGGAAGCTCATTGCAAAGCAATTCTCATTTACAGCCATACATCTTTGCTTTGAAAACCGTGATAGCAGAAAAGTGCGCAAAGAAGAAGGAAACTGCTTCAAAATGTCAAACAACATCTGTTTCCCATTTCTGAGAATTACTGAGCGTTCTGCGCCCTTTAACCCTTTAGCCCACATTGTATCTGTCCCTTCATAGTTTATGAGCTTTATCTTCAGAAGTCTTTCAGTAAATGAAACCTGATACAGAGAGTGAATCTCTGCTTAAGGTTCTCTCCAAGGATTAGGGATGAGATTTATTAGAACAACACCACTCACGCTATGATACTTTTAAGGTCGTGTCAACATTTCAATTAGAAACCTGTGCTTCCAGGGGGACAGACACAGTCTGCTTAAAAAATAATAATAATTCTCCAGCTTCAAACTGGGAAAGTGGGATAGTCATTGGAGGATCCATGTTTTGGATGATTGAAATTTTTAAAAGCTTCCCGTGATTGACCTTTCTGAAGGGTAAAGAATTATATCCCACAGACTCTGGGATTTTGTACTTCAAGACTGTATCCCACAGTCAAAGCAAAAATGATGCTAGATTAAATAATTAGAGCAAAAAATCTAAATATGATCGTTCTGGAAAACTGCAAATGAGTCAGTATTTGAACATTTATTTTGAGGACAAGGCAGAAGGCATTTTGTCACATGCAGTAATAAGTCATTCTTCTAACTATAACTTTAGGTCAACCAGGCAGTGGTGGTTTCTTCTCAGTGATCTGCAGCAAATCTCTATGCCATCTAAACGAACAGTGACTGAGAGGTCTGACAGAAAAGCATGAGGGGATCAAGGTCAACCAAAAACAAAGCAGTGAATGTATGAGTTCATCTTTGGTGCCCTTCTCCGGATGCTCTGCACTCTCTGTCTTCCCCTCCTGAAGCCCATGATCCTGAATCATGAATGTAAGAGTTAATCCTTTCGCCTTCCTTACCAACTGACACCATCCTTCAGTCAAAACCAACCTGCTACCAACTTGATTCATTGAGAGCCACCTATGAAGTTAGAAAGGATCCACTAGGTTTCTACTGATTTGCTGACAGTCACTACGTCTTAAATGGTTGTCTGTCTCAAAGATGTTTGTGTTTTGTAAGGAGCAAAGCTGGTGGAATTTAGGGCATCTCTACAGGGGCAATGGAAAGGGATTTTTAAGTAAGGAATTTAAAAGCACTCTTCAGATAGCATCGCATAGGCAACAGTATATTTCTCCTGTAATTAAGAGGTTTAATTAATAGTTCCATTGTTCTATAATGTTCCATTGTTCTATTCTCTAGAGAGAATTGGTCATAAAATATAAGTTCCATGAGAGCAGAGTTTGGTTGTTTTGTTCCCTATGACTTAAAACATTGTAGGTTATAAATATCTGGTGAATGAAGGAATAAAAAAGTTATTGAACATATCAATACCTCTTTATCAGTTCTGAAGTCTTAGTTATAAGTAACCTGCAAACACATTTCCTCAACGCAGAAAAAATAAATCTATTACTGTAAATAAATGGTTATCTATATATTGGCTTCTAGGGTGGGGTGATGCAGAAAAGAATCACATACAAAATGAGTAACTAAGAGAAATATCTAAGAGCAATGTTTGCTCTTTTTTTCTGACTTTTAAATACCACCCAAACCTTTACAATGGAGAGTTTGAAACTGAAAGAGAGATGAACTTTTCTGTCCCACCTCCGTGTCTCCTGTTTCTCAAGTAAGAAAAATACCTCCAAAAGACATTTGTATTTTAAAAATATACACTACTTTGCCCATGGAGCCAACCAGATTGTAAGTGCCTTGAAGGTAGGCAGGAACAATGCCGTATTCATTTTTTTTTATACCCACAAAGCTTCTGGATGGTGGGCTGCACACAGCATGTGTTTCATAGAAATTTGTTAGGTTGGGTAGCTTCTTAAAAATTGAGACTCTCCACTGCAGCAGGTACTTTATCTAAACTGCTCAGGACCATCAGTGTCTGCTTTCAATTTCATCTACTCTCTCTTCCTCTGGCAAGCCTCTGACAGCGTGAGAAGAAGAGATGAAAGGAAATGAGACAAAAAGAGGAAGAGTCTAACTGTAAGGTCTTCTAGGGACTTCAATGCTATGAGTGTTTGAGGAATCTTCAAGTATTGCTTGTCTATATATAATCATGTTTCTACAGTAGAAGTATTCCCTTTCTGAAAACAACAATGTATTCCTTTGTGAATAAAGTCTCACGCCATTATTAGCCAAGGAAATCCACTCGGCCACTTAACCACTCTTGGTTGGTCCCTTCCCTTGTACCTTTCAATAGCTATACCAGCTGGTCTCAAAACTATTTTGTGCTACTACAGCCATCTTCTGTTATTTCTATGTGGCTTTTCTGGAGAACTAAAAATGCACTCATGTTCTACAGAAATCCTTTCATTCTATTTCAGTTAGCCTACAGAGTTCTAGGCCTTTTCATGGGATAGAAGGGTGCCAGTCTCTTGGAAGTTGCAATCTTCTGGGCCATTGGAAAGAGGGAGACCCTGCATAGAATCCAGAATAAATACATAAACAAATGTGTCGTGACCCTAAGTGTTTATGTCCTTAGTCTTAAGAGCAGTTTCTTCAGGAGA